GAAGCTACCCTTAAGGTCGCAGCCACCAGAGAGCTGCACCATCAGGATAGCTGGGCGAGATCCCCAGGCACTTGTCCCCTTAGCTCCCAGGGCCTCAAACCTTGCCCAGGCTCCTCCCAGGGCCGGTGAGAAAGGCCTGGCCTTGAGGACTGCGTTTGCAGTCTGGCTCTCCTCCTACAGCACTTGGGTAGGGTGTGGGCTTTCAGACCCGCAAACGGGGACAGTAAGGTCAGTGACTGCAGCATGGATATTGAGAGGGAATGCTAAAAGTATCGACTATTTTAAAGCAGCTCCATTGGGTACCCCGGCGTCCCAGTGGGGCAGTGTCTGCACCCCCCTCCACGTCCATTTGATGGGAGAAAAATGTGGTCGCCGGCTTCCACCGAGAGTTCCAGCCTTCGAAACCCTGTGGGGAAATTCTGCTGCCCTAGAGAGTCACTATGAGTCAGCATCCACGTGATGGCAGCGAGTCGGGCTTTTCTTTTTTTAATGTGTGGGCACTGTCCTAAATGTTCGCCAAGCATTATCCTATTGAGTCATCACACTAATCCTACAAGGTATTCACACCCCCATGTTATGGTGAGGAAGCGGAGGTCGGCGAAGGTGGAAGTGTCAGCGTGCTCAGTCTGGTCGATTCCCAGGTGCATCGTCCTAACCACTGACCTAGACTGCTTCTTTGTGGATACCTACTACCTACCATTGCCACCCAGTGAACGCCAGTGCACAGCCACCCTGTAGGGCAGGGTGGAACCGCTCCCTATGGTTTCTGAAGCTGCAGATCTTTCCCAGAGCAGACAGCCTCATCTTTCTCCTGAAGAGGGCTTAGTGGGTTGGAACCACTAACCTTGAGGTTCACAGCCCACCGGAGCTCCTTCTCATGTTGACAGAGGTCAACATTACAATAAAGAGAATGCACGGCTGATCATTAGGACAATAATAAAAGCAACCTCACGCCAACATAGGAACGCATCCAGTGTCAACCTAGGAAGAGGACGGACGCTGTGGCTGAGCCTCTGCAGACCCTTCCACGTAACTGGATGGCAAGCAGAGCGGCAGGTCTGTCTGCAGGTCTGCTCTGAGCCAGGCACCACGCATTCATTCCAGATCACTCTTGCTTTGATAACAGCAGCCCTGGGAGGAGATCCAGGCCCAGGGCGAAGCCACATGTCTGGGGACACAAGACTTAAAGTGACAGAACAATCCAGATCTGAACCCTGATGCCAAAGCGTGGGCTTGGGGACTTGGGTGTCTAGGAGAGTGGGGCACAAGGCCCCAGACCCATGGGCTCTGTGTCTGTCTTAGCACCCACTGCCACCCCGGGCTACCTTCCTAGAGGATGGAGGCAGGTGGCAAGGGGGGCCTTGACTAAAGATGCAGCCAGCTACATCTGGTCTGGCTCAGTCGTGTAAGGACACAGCAAGTCGTGCAAGGCTTTCTGGAGAAGAGGCAGAGACATTGCTGTGTGTGGGGTGGGGCAATGTGACAAGAGCCAAAAGATGTTGGCGTTACCTGGGGAAGTAAGAGATAGGCCCCTCGCTTGGACTTGACCAATGGCCCGAGAGGACAGCCAGGTGAAGGGGCAAGGCCTCCTGAGATGTGTTTGGAAGGAGAGAAAGGGGAGGGGCTCTGGAGCCTGGGAGGACCCCGCACCAGAGGGGATGCGGCTGTGTGCTAGACTGCTGAGCAGCTGCACATCACCCGTGTCCTAGTCGTGTGCCTTGTGTGACAGACACCCTGCTTCCTCCTCGGAGTCTTGGGGCACCTAGATGGAGTGCTTATTGATGCCATCTTTCCACCCATAGTTATGGGCACACACCCCCCCCCACTAGGCCTGATACTGTACACTGCAGGAGGACAAAGGCACCTCCCCCGCCTGCATGGCAGTTACAGTCCGGTGACTGAAATATATAATTACATGAAGCCATGAGCAGAAAGCGATGAGTTCAGAGCCTGGGAACCAAGAGCGAGGGCAACTATAATTAGCGCAATCGCGCTCCAGCCACCCTGCCCTGACGTGCTGGGTGACCTTGGACAAACCAACTCATCTCCCTGGGCCCCAGAACTGACTCTGGGAGTCTCCAACCTTTCCCGTGTCCCGGGTATGGGGCTAGCTGGGGGCTGTGTTCTCAGATGTGGGGTGCCCTTGGTGTCATTGGCGCCCCTGGTTCCAAGTTCCCAGAGAGTGTAAAGTTAAAGTGTGGTCCCAGTGGCCCCAACCCAACCCCTGTGACAGGGGCTGGGAGAGGAGGCGGACATTGGGACGCCCCTCTTCCCCCGGGGTTGATGATTGCGCTTCCCTTTAGTCGACCCCTGCAGAAGGGCAGCCACCCCATGTGCAAGGAACACGAGGACGAGAAAATCAACATCTACTGCCTCACCTGCGAGGTCCCCACCTGCTCCATGTGCAAGGTGTTCGGAGCCCACCAGGCCTGTGAGGTGGCCCCGCTGCAGAATGTCTTCCAGGGTCAAAAGGTACTGAACTAAACCACCACGGTCCCCCCAACCCCCCCACCCCCAGCCAGGGCCTGCCGGCAACTAATGATTCAGGATTTGGATTTGGTTCTCCAAGATCTGCTGAGCCGGCCTTTCAGGGCTAGTCCCTCTGGGGGGACTTCCCAGGCCTTGCCGTCCTGAGGGAGGAGGCTGAGCTCATGGGCTATACATAGAGCCACTTGAGAGCACCTGGTGTGGCCCCAGGGGAGCGGCCCAGCCACCAGGGCCCTCTCAGGCCATGTCTTCTCCCTCCCAGCGCACTCTGGGCCCTAGATAGCTCTTCCTGTGCCCCTAACCGCTCACGGGTCACAGTTCCTTGCAGCAAGAGGCAGCTGAAAGCCCTCTCCGGGGCCCCTGGGCCTGGGGGAGCCCCGCCTCCCTGTCCTGATACTCAGCTAGGCCCTCTCTTTCTGTATTTATTTCTCCCTGCTCACCTGTCCCTGGGCCTCTCACTTCCAGAACGCTCCAACTGTTTCTTTCTTGCAGCCCTTCCTCGCCTAAAAAGAAACCCCCACCTCCATCAGGACCTTGCTGTGTGTTTGGGGGTGCTCAATTTCCCTCTCTTGGGCCTCTTGTGTACAATCAGGGGTGACACTCTCTTCTATTGTTTGTTATGGCCCCAGAGAGAGGGTCCCTAACCCTGCTGGAAGCTCTTCCTAGGACAGGCGGGGGTGAGGCTGTCACGTGATGGCCTGGAGGGAGAGGGCAGCCCCCGAGACTCTCTCTGCCTCTGCTTGCTGATCCCCACCCCTCTCTGCTCCAGACGGAACTGAGTAACTGCATCTCCATGCTGGTGGCGGGCAATGACCGGGTGCAGACCATCATCTCGCAGCTGGAGGACTCCTGTCGAGTGACCAAGGTGAGGAGGCTGGAGAGGTCTAGCGAGCGGATGCAGCCCAGACTCGGGTGAGACCTGCATGCTCCCTCGTGGGCTGTGACTTGAGGTCGGGGCATGGAGCCGAGGGTGACCGAGCAGGGACAGCAGGGGAGGGACAAACTCATTCCTCCACTCACCCCTCAGATGCTTCTAGAGCCCAGCTGCATGTCCGGTATAAATTCCGGTATTTTCCAGCCAGGGTAGGAACCCTGGAGGCTTGGTGGTGATGCATTGATCTGCTAACCACAAGATCGGCAGCCGGTCGTCACAAGAGTGACAGTCTCAGGAATCCACAGGGGCAGTTCTACTCTGTCCTATAGGGTCACCGTGCATCAGCGGAAGAGGGGTTTTCAAAGGACGGTTCCCTGGTATGCTGCAGACCAACGCTCTCCAAGCTTTAAAATGCACACAAGTCCCCGAGTCTGTCTAATCAGAGATTCGTCCTCAGTAGACAGGAAACCAGGCACGAGTGAGCTTCAGCGTTGGCCCGAGTTGCTGGCCCACAGACCACACTTTGAGCAGCAAAGCTGTGGAGGGGGGAAGGGACCTTTTCCATGTCTGACAAAGTACCCAAGATTTCCCATCTGCCATTGGGGTAAGGACCCAGAGGGGAGATTGGGGGAAGGTACCATGTTGGTGAGTGGGGACCCGCGTGCAGGTTAGGTTTAAAAGGAGGAGGGGCCGTTGGCCTCCCCGTGGGAAGATTCCACGCTGATGGGAGACTCTGGAAGCATGAGTCTGGTGAGGTGGGATCATACCCATTTTACAGATCAGGGGACAACAATGTAACATGTGTGTTGAAGAGAAGGGATCTTTAATAAACAGGCCACTAAGGGAAGAGCTCCTTGTACGTCTGCCCCTCCTAGGACCAAGGGACACCACCTTCCAGGATCCAGTCTTGGTCTTAAAATAGGAGAAAGAGTGCATGTGACTCAGGGTACATGGGAGACCCAGAATGTGCCATCCCATCTGACCCTAAAAACAAACAAACAATCCACAGCGACTCATAGCCATCCTTGACTCACGGGAGTAGACAACCTCACCTTTCTCCCAAGGAGCAGCTGGGGGTTTCCCGCCTGCTGACCCTGTGGCTAGCAGCCCAACATGCCATCCACGCTGCCATCAGGAGGGGCATCTGACCCTGGTGTCTTTTTTTAAAAAAGCATCGTTTCGCTGGCATATACTTCACTGAGCATAGGGTTTAATCATCCCGTTGTATTAGGACGATCTGTGTAGTCGTCACCACAATCCGATTCCCAGCATCGTTAGCTCCCCATGTTCCCACAGCCACCCTGCCACGCACACCCCAGCCCAGGGACTGTCTCTATCGATCTACCGATACCAGATTTCCACTGCAGAAAACCATCCAAAATGAAACACAAGCACACAAAATCATACAAAGCAAGCACAAAAGAACCCCAAGACAATGACTGGACAATACATAGAAAGACCTCGACCAAAGAGAAAGCAGGAACTATCAAAACCAGGAACACCTTTACGATGGGGAGAAGGGGAGATCAGATGATAGGGCGTTGCCTCCTAACTGAACTGCATCTGCCAGCACTGAGTTTGCAACGCTCTAAGTGAGCAAGGCTGTTCGCATCCCCCCACTATGGTCGGAGGGGATTCACCCCGGGGACCCTGCCAAGGGATTTGGGGCTTCCCCTGTTGCCCATAGCCTTCTGCAAACCAGGTGTTCACCATGTCAGTTCTGAAAGTACCCTCTAGGCTTTCTGAGGGCGGGGCTCTTGTTCTCCATGACACCAGCTCCCGTATTTTGCCGATAGACTGATTAGCTTGAGCAAGGGCTTTCTTCCAGCTACCCCTTTATTGCCTCTTCTGTAAAATCGGGATGCAGTATGATTTCTTTAGAGGTTTGTCCCCGGGCACACTTTCCTCAGGAAGGAAATGCCGCGGTCGGGACTAGGATCCCACAGGATGTGACTCCCAGATGTCTGCCTCCAGGAGAACAGCCACCAGGTGAAGGAGGTGCTGAGCCAGAAGTTCGACGCCCTGTACGCCATTCTGGATGAGAAGAAGAGCGAGCTGCTGCAGCGGGTCACCGGCGAGCAGGAGGAGAAGCTGGCCTTCATCGAGGCCCTCATCCTGCAGTACCGGGAGCAGCTGGACAAGTCCACCAAGCTGGTGGAGACCGCTATCCAGTCCCTGGACGAGCCTGGGGGGGCCACCTTCCTCCTGGTGAGCAGGGCCGGAGTCTGAGCAGTGACTTCCCCCAACAGCCCTATGGCTCAAGCCCCGGTCTCTCTGCTGCGCCCTGTGTGCCTTGGGGCACCTCCTGTAAACCTCTCCTCGGTTTCTTGCTCTGTCAAACGGGCGTGCAATAACCCCTCCCTTCCTCTTCATGACTCCCCCAAGAGCCAAAGAGGGGCGTGTTGAGCTGCTAAGTGCAGGGCCCACGGAAGAGGTTATGAAGTATAGGCTGCCCACTGGGGGGGGGGGTGAGTGGAGAGGAACAAGACCCCCCCCTCCCAGCCCTGTCCCGCAAGAGCTCACTGGCTAGTGGAGGAGCGAGACCGGGCTCGGCTATCAAACGTCACATTCCGTTGGAGAAAAGTGTCCTGAGCACCTGGTCGGGGCCAGACTCTGAGTCAGGTGTTGGGTTCGGGAAGGCAAGTGGGCCATGGTCGTGGGTTTTGAGATTCACGTTTCCTGCGAGGTCAATGGGAGCACCCTAGGGTGATGTCCAAAGCTGGAGCAAGCCAGGGACAGAGGGGCCGAACTCAGGGAGCGGACTAGATCGCCACTGGGCTAAGAAATGGCACCAAGTGCCCACCTGCATTACCCAGTCACCAATTGTGCTGATGCCCTCAGGCTACCTCTTCTGAGCCTTAACCCCGCCTCTCTCTCCCCTTACAGGGTGCCAAGCCCCTCATCAAAAGGTCAGTATCTGCCCAGGGGGCTATGACCCCAGGCCCTAGTGTCCCACAGGCTCTCTGGTTCCTTCCCCTGGGCCTCCTCCTTTGTAATGGGGTGCTGGAGATCCCTGACCTTGGTGTCTCCTCCTCTCTCAGATCATCCATTTCGGTTTTGCCTGGAGAGAGAATGCTCCACTCCTCCAGGGCGTCCCCTAGGGGCAAGCCCACGAGTGTGGTGCCCCTAAACAAGAGCTAAGGCACCCCATCCTCTCTCCCCCCCAGCATTGTGGAAGCTTCCAAGGGCTGTCAGCTGGGGAAGACAGAGCAGGGCTTTGAGAACATGGACTACTTCACTCTGGACTTACAGTACATCGCGGATGCCCTGAGGGCCATCGACTTCGCAGGAGGTAGGGGCGGTGCTGGTGCCCTGGGTCTGCTTCCTTGCGGACTCCTGGGGGCTGACCTCCAGGCACACTCACCGAGTAACTTCTGGATGAGTCCAGAGTCTAGCACTTGCCTGGCACGTCGTGATGGCTCTGTGACCATGCAGGGGACCCGGGGGGCAGTTGTGCTCCATCCTATAGGGCCGCTTTGAGCTAGAGTTGACTCGGAGGGCTTTTAGAGATGGGAAAACTGCACGAGGGGCACCGAACAGAGCCATGCCGGAAACAGAGAGGTTACTGAGTTTCTCAAGGCTGCGTACTTAAACTCCGTTTAGCAACAGAGAGGGGGACACAAGCCAAACAATTCACTGCCTTGGGTTCCAACCAAGGAGTGAGCAGCCCAGCGTGTAAGCCACCAGGCCGCCGCGGCTCCCCACGCAAACGCACAGCCACCTATGGGGCAGCGCGGAGCTGCTCCGGGGGGGTTTCCAAGCCTGCGCGTGACTTTTACAGATGCAGACTGCCACCGCTTGCTCTCCAAGAGCCTGCGGGGACTAGCGGCTGAGCACTTAACCACTGTGCCACCAGGGCTCATTAGAGAAAGCGCTGGCAGATCCAATCAACCAGAGAGCTCAGCATTAGTCAGAGTTGAGAGAGAGAGAGAGAGAGAGAGAGAGAGGTGCAGGAACAAGGAAGGACTAAATGGTTGGCATGAGCCTGAGAAAGGCGTTTTGTCACCTCCTGTGACACGTTCCTGCAAGCCTTCAGCACCTGGTTGAGTCTGTTCTCAGAATCCCAGCTCTGTCCCCCGTCGCGGGGAAGGACAGAGGACATCCCAAAGCTGAGTGCCAATGGTCTCAAGCTCATCCATTGCTGTAGATCGTGGGCTCCGCCGTCACCCTCCCTAAACCCCGAGAGTCCCCAGTCAGCATGGTCACTTCACCCGCAGCCTCAGCGGGAGGACACCAACAGCCGCCGTTTACTGAGCGCGTCCCACGTCCCACGTCCCAGGCGCTGCTGTCTGTGTTTCCATTCTCCCCAGGGAGGGAGGTTCTGTTACCCGCAGCTCCATTTCCCAGTGGAGAAAACGCCAGCTAGGAGAAGGTGAGCGATTGGCTCCGGGCCACACAGCTAGTCAGTAGCCCACACAGATGTCCCCGAGGACTACCTGCTGTGCTAGTGATCCAGACGCCATCCACGAGACCCTCTGGGGGTTCACTGGACCCAGGTGTACACAGCGCTGAGCACAGCCCTCGGCGCAACACACACCCGTCACCACCAAGTTGATCTGACTCATGGCGACCCATGTGTGTGCGAGGACAACCATGCGCCACGAGGGTCCGACAGTTGCTTTGTGGGGAGCATACTGCCAGGCCTTTCTCCAAGGCGCCTCTTAGTAGCCGAGCGCATTGACCATTCGTGCCATCTAGAGGCTCTTGGCCCGGTAGATGCTCCGTAGTAACTGTGACGGTGATTCAGTAATGCCCTGGGGAAGATGACCTCCAAGTGAAAGCAGTGAGCAGCAAAGACTGTCTTCAGCATACGCAGCAAGGAGAAGGCTAATATGTCCCGAAACAAAATCTCCCCGAATCCCAAACATTTCAAAGCCAGCCCACCCCCTGCTGTCAAGTCCATTCCACTGACAGTGACCCTATAGTAGGAGCCCTGGCGGCAGCATGGGTCATGAGTTGGCTGCTAACCACAAGGTCAGCAGTTCAAACCCACCAGCTGCTCTTTGGGAGGGTGGGGTGCGCATTTCACTCTCATAAGGAGTTACAGTCTTGGAAACCCACAGGGGGAGTTCTTCTCTGTCCTATAGGGTCGCTATGAGTCGGCATCGACTTGTTGGCGTTGGCAGTGAGTGAATTGTAGGAAAGAGAAGAGCTGTTCCTTCGGGTTTCTGGGGAGCCTCGGTGACATAGTGGGGTGGGCATGGGGCTACTAGCCACAGAGTTAGCAGTTTGAAACCACTAGTCTCTCGTGGGAGAAAGATGAGGTTTTCTGCTCCCGTAAAGACTGAGAGTCTCAAATCCCCACAGGGCAGTTCTACCCTGACCTGCAAGGTTGCTATGAGTCAGAATCTTTGGATTTGGAATCTTCCCAGATTTGGAATTCTTTACAGTATTCTAGGAGAGAAACTCAGCTCACTCCCTGTCACTGAAATGATGCTGAGTCACAGGGACCCTTGTAGGACAGGGTAGACCTGCCCCTGTGGGTTTCTGAAATGATAACCCTTTACGGGAGTAGGAAGCCCTGTCTTTCTCCCTTGGAATAGCTGGTGGTTTTGAACTGCTGACCTGGCAGTTAGCAGCCCCGTGTATAACCATTATGCCACCAGGGCTCCTCTCCTGGGAGAGAAGGGAGACTCTCAATTTAAATATAATTTATAGAGACAGAGCACACAGGACAAAGACAGGAAGTCAACCGATCCCCAGAGGAGACAGCATGTCAGTGTCAGAGGGAGGACACAAAAGGATCCCGTCCCAGGATTCGTAGACATTTGAACAAAGGAAACTGTCACCAGGTCTTTTTTTCTTTTTTTAACCGTTTTATTAGGGGCTCATACAAGTCTTATCACAATCCATACACACATCAATTGTGTAAAGCACATTTGTACATTCACTGCCCTCATCATTCTCAAAACATTTGCTCTCCACTTAAGCCCCCGACATTAGGTCCTCATTCTTCCCCTCCCTCCCCGCTCCCCCCTCCCTCATGAACCCTTGATAATTTATAAGTTTTTATTTTGTCATATTGTCACCAGGTCTTGAGTGGTAGTCGACCACTTCCTCACAAGTGCAGGCAGGACTGCCCCAACCCAACCCCAATCAATCCGATGCCCCAGAGTGGATCTGGATCCAACTGGGCAACACTGACCTCGGAGGGGCACCGGGATGACCCAGGGGGACTGCCAAAGCAACTGTCTACACTTGACCCCGGACGATAGGCTACAGGGCAAACGTTTTCCACTGTCAGTGGGGCCCTGAGTAACTTTTTTTACTGAAAAAGGGGTGAAGTAAGCCAAATAAGTTTAGGGACCTGTGCTCTATAGGGTTTGCAAGGCTGTAAATATTTACACTTATTGGCACTTAATCCACAGGTTACACAATTCAATAGTTCAGTCATAGCCAGAAGAGTTGTACAATCATCACCACAGTCAATTTTAGAACACCCACCCCTGGTTAAATCACTTTTAAAATGAGTTGGGTGATCACCATCAGCTCTAGTGCTCCCTCCATGCTGCAAGGCTGTCCATCTTTATGGGAGCAGACAGCCTCGCCTTTCTCCCGCAGAGCAGTTGGTGGGTTTGAACCATTTACATTGCCTTAAGCAGCCCAAGGTGTACCTGACAGCACTACTAGAAACAGGAAAGGGACTGTGATTGAGATATTGACACAATTGCAGATGACAAGAGCGGACAAGATTAGTTTAGGGCCCTCTAAGCAAGGCAATCAGGGTATGATTGAGTGACCCTAGCATTCCAATTTCCATCAAGGACACACCCAGGCAAGGCCCTGAGGGCAAGACTACCCCCCCTTGGGCCGGCTAGGGGAGTGGTAGCAATCTACTTTTCAACCCCAAACTCTCCCCATTGCTGGTCGATGATCAGATAGAACTCCGTGGTGGCTAGATCTATGTGAAGACTTAAAAATAGATTTAGGGCTCCTACTGTAAAAACATAAACCATCGAGTCCATGCCAACTCATAGTGACCCCATAGGACAGGGTAGAACAGCCCCAGCTGTCTCTTTCTCCCCACCCCCCACCCCACTCCCCGTGGTTTCGAACTGCTGACCTTGAGGTTCACAAGACATAACCACTACATCACCACTGCGGCCCCTCACTATAAATCATAGCCTTTCGAAAATCAAGTGTGATCAGAGTTGAGGATCTAATACAACAGACTGCCTCATCTTTCGCCTGTGAATTTGAATAACTAATCTTGTGCTTAGTAGTCCAGCGTTTAATCCACTGCACCACCAGGGCTACTTACAAAGCCGACAGTCCATATCAATATGGGGCGTTAGTAAAAGGGTCAACCTTGTGTTATCAAAAACCACACCCAACGATGGAGTCAATTCCAACTCACAGAGTGAGCAGTCCCGCAGGGTTTCTGAGAATGAATATTTAGAGGAACAGACCACAAACCTGGCGGTTAGCAGGCCAGTGCTTAACTCACCGCACTACCAGGGCTTCAAAGTCGTTGTTGCTGTTAGGTACTGTCAGTTCCGGCCTGACCCATCGGGACCCTGTGTGCAACAGAACACGACACTGCCCACCCCTGCACCATCCTCACCTACGATTGCAGCCTCTGTGCCAATTCACCTTCCCCTTTTCCCTTGACCTTCGACTTCAGCAAGCATGCCTTTTTCCTGGGCTCCAATAAGATGTCTTAAAACCATTGAATCACCAAGATGGCTTTTCAAATGACTACTGGTACATGTTTACCACGACTCAGTGATCAGGTGTGGCTTGGTTGGTAGAAGAAGAAGAACATAGTTTCTTTGCTCTGAGAAAGATATACTTGGGCAAGTTCTCTAGTTAGTCAATCTGTCTCTCCCTGGTGGTTTAATGTTGTGTTTTTGCAGCCACAGTGTCAATCTATCTCCTTGAGGAAGGCCACGTCTCGCCATCTTTGCCTCTAAGGGGCACTCTGGCTGTACATCTTCCAAGTCTGTCCTTTTAGCAGCCCATGGTACTTTCAACACTCTTCTCCAGCACCACAACTCAAACGCATCGGTTCCTCCTTATTCAACGTCCACCTTTCACATGCACGTGATGCAATGGAGAATACTGTGGTTTGAGTCAGATGCACCTTGTCCTCAAAGTGACACCCTTGCTTTCCCGTGCTCTGAAGGACATATGGTCCAATGGTCAGACGAATATCAAGAACTCAAGAGGGTGTCTGAACTTAGGCTGTTTCAAAACAGAGTCCGGGCTCCAGCTGTGGCTGTAGCCCCCTGCAAACCAGATGCCGTTGGTTGTAAGCTCGAAGGCAGCAACCACGGCACAACTCCCAGGGTTGTGCACAGATCCCAGCTCCAGGGCAGGACTTTGGCTCGTCATTTTAGGAACAGGAACGTTTCCAAGCGCTCACTAACTCTAGACAAGTGCTCTGACTCAGTGGGGACCAGGCTCCACTCAGGGCCATGCAGGATGAAGGAAGTGGCTTGGGGGGGGGGGTTCTGTCAGTAGAGCATACAGGTGATGTCCCAGGATGGGAAAGCGAGGACCCAGGTTGACGTCCTGCCATTGTCCCTCTGTTGCTCAGCTTTGCTCAGCTAAAGCTCCCCACCCCAGGCCCACCCTCTGCTGGCTTCAGGAATGAGAAAAACACGAGAAAGGGATGCTGAGCAAGCTGCTTTCAAAGGCTGAGCAAATTCCTTCAGGACAAGGACTTTGATCACAGCTAGCCAGGAGTTCTTGCCTGTGCCCCGCAGGGAAGCTTATCTGTGTAACAGAGATTCCGAAGAACACAGAGTGCTTCCCCACAGTCCCCCTGGGGTCACAGGCCAGTTACTTCAGGGACAAAAGCCAAGCGCCCTTGCAGAGCGTGGGAGGAGGAAGGCAGGCAGGGGAGTGAGGAATCAGCCGTTGGGGGTTGGCACATCCCCCACCATCAGAGCCTCTGCTGCTTCTGGGTGACCAAGAGGAGCCCGTTAGAGATGTGCAGTCTTGAAAACCTTATCTGGGGTCACTATGAGTCAGAACGCACTGGAGGGCAGTGGGCTTGGAGTATGTGTTTGGGGGGGCGGCGGGGGGACAGGAAAAGGAGCTGAGATAGCAGCTCCCCAACAGCATCGGCCCTATCTAACACCATGCCTATCTAACACACACAGATGAGGAAGAAGAAGCCACTGAAGAAGAAGATCAGGTGGAGGACGAGTCCACAGAGGGGAAAGGAGAAGGTGAGAAACTCACGCCCCCCATTCGCTCATCCCCTTGAATAGGATTGAATCCTTCGCTCAGTCGTTCAACATCGGGAGATGACAACGGTGCACACAGCCCTGGGTCTGGCCTGGGCATGAGGCTTAGCCTTGTTCCCAACCAAGATGCTATTTTATTTGCATGAGTGGAGCCTTTATTCATGGGGGCATCCGGATGAAGGGCAGCCAGCAGATGGGAGCAGGAGAACCTGATTCTCAGCAAGGGGAGGAGAAAGTGAGGCAGTTTGGGGATTGAGTCCTAACAAAAAGGTTCCCATTTCTACTATTTAGGAAGAAGTGACCTTCCTAACAGAGGCAACCCAGCGCAGAGAGGGCTTCCTGTGGCTCAGACCACCGCCACCTTTCGTTGGGCCATTTTCCCCGGCCTATGCGGAATTAGCTGGCATCATTTTGCAGAGATGTCCGCTAATCTGAGCTTCCACCTTCTTGTAAAGGTTAGGGAAGGGCTTTCCCTTGTCTCTGGCCCCAGGGAGCTCAAGGCTGACAGCACTGGTCCCTGGAGATGGATCTGCACTGCCCCGTTTGCCCACTCCCACCCATCAAGCCCACTGGCTTCATTCCTTCATGCTATCTGCTGGCCCAGGAGGCAGGCACCCGAGTTTGCCCAGCTGGGAGAGCCTCGTTTCTGACTCACAGAGCACTGACTCGGTGACCTTCGCAACTGTCTGAGGTCTGGGATTGTTGGGTGCTGTTGAGCAACCCTGTGTACAACCAACCACCACCCAGTCCCGGGCCTCCTCCTCACAACGGGACCCACTGTGGCAACCACCATGTCAAGCCATCGCATTGCGAGTCTTCCTCCGTTTCTCTGTCCTCCGACTCAACCAAGCATGATGTCCTTTTCCAGGGACAGGTGTCTCCTGAGAACCTACATGTCCAAGTACGTGAGACCGAGTCTCACCACCTTGACGTCTAAGGAGCGCTCCAGCTGTCCTTCTTCCCGGACATGTGTGTTCCTTGGGCAGTCCTCGGTCATCTCGGTCCTCTTCCCCACCACCACCGTTCCAATGCGCCCACGCTTCTCCCACCCTCCTTTTTCAGTGCCCAACTGTCACGTGCCTGGGAGGCCATTGAGAAGACCAGAGCTTGGGTCAGGCTTACCGTAGTCCTCGAAGGAGCCTCCTTGCTTCCAAAGGAGTCTCATAACAGCTCCCTCAGAAGATGTGGGGAGTAATTTAAATAATGCTTGTAAATCATTT